TTTGAGACATCTTTTGTTAATTAATTATTTGAAAGAATGTGATGCTCTGATTTGTATCGTACTGGTGAACACTGGAGTAGAAATACAATGCAGTATCAATTATTTAAATACTTCTTGTAAGACAAAAGGCTCAGGAATTTCATCCTTAGACATTGCAGTGTTTGTATATCAATATACCAAAGCTTCTGTGTTTTTACATCCTGATGTCTCCTCACAGTCACTCTTACCACTGATCTGAGGAACACCTCTACCTTAAAGGCAGATATTAAAAAAAAAAAAATAATCTTTGCACAACTCTTAACATCTGTTTCACAGTTTCTTGGAAGATTTAGCATATTTTCTTATGGAATCAGAGAGCTCATTTTCTCTGAAAATGACGTAAGTTATTATTTTTTGGGGGTTTGAATCTCTCCCTGATGATTTCATTGAAAAGTGTTCTTTTCTAGTGTTTTTATCAATAATATCTTGCACTTCATATTAAATATAATTGTATTTTTAGAGAATAAATCTTTTTAGATGAAGGCTTCAAGTTTCAACTAAAGGCTTTAAATTTAAATTAAATAAGAAATTGACTGATTGGCCTGTGTTACACAGTACCAGAGAAGCCTTGTTCATAATTAAAAAAAAAACAAAAAGACACACAACTTGAATAAGGAGTTAATCTTTCTCTGTACTACCAGATGTGATAATGCATAGATGGGTATCAGTTCCTTGAGAAGTTTCACCATACAAAAGTTGTTCTGCCTCTAATTCCAGTAGTGGTGGGAGATGCAGAGACAGACTCAGTGTTTTATCACCTGCTCAGTGTAAGGTTTGTGCATAGGAAGATGATCAATATGTGTTAGCTACTTTTCTGTAAACTCTGCAAAGACTCACAGAATGGTAAACATTGGAAGGGACATCTGATCCAACCTTCTCCTCAAGCAGGGCCACCCAAAGCAAACTGTCCAGGGGCATTTTAAGTCAGTTTCTGAAGACATCCAAAGGTTGTTAAGATGGTCCCAAACCTCCTCTTTTCCAGGCTGAACAATCCCACCTTTCACAGCCTCTCCTCACCTAAGAGGTTCTCATGTCCTTTGATCATCTTGGTACTCCATCACTAGATTTGCTCCAGTATGTCTAGGTTTCTCTTGTAATTGGTTATCAGTATAAGAATTGGAGCTGTTACCTGGGGTGTGACTTCACCAATGCTGAGCAGAGGAAAAGAATCAATTCTCTTGACCTGCTGGTGATGCTTCGCTAAACACAGCCAAACCTTCATTCTGGCAAGGGCACATTACTGATTTGTGTTCAACTTTGTGTTTACCAAGACTCCTAGATTCTTTACAGCAGAGCTACAGAAAAAGTCCTGTCATTTTTATCAAATGTAACCAGACAAAGATGATTATGATGTTTCTCTGCTTGTGATTAATAATTTTTGAATTCCTTTTCATCTACTGCAGTGTTAAAGAGATTGACTGTAGTTTAGTAGTTTTCCCATTTACCTAGGGAGTGGGGGACTGAAGCAAGTGGGGTTGTTAGCAATTAATACCTTTGGCTATTTTTCTTCTATATGGTGAAATATTTCTGCTTAGCTACTGAAACTCCATTTTTCAGACCTTTTGGGATAGACATCAGAACACTGTGAACTATTCTGCTCAAAATAACAGCATAAACAATAGCAGAGGAAAGGACAGCACTGGAAAGAATGACATCAGAGGGATTTATTTTCAACCTACGTCTTTTAAATCATTTTTACAGTTCTCCAAATAATTCTGACTTCATATACATATAAATAATCACAAAGTATGCGATGTTTTACCAAAGGCACATGGTCCTATTTTTAAAGTAGTGTATAATTCTATGAGAAAACACTGAAATAGGATCAGACATTAATTTTTAAAGCTCTGTTCTGTATATTGTCATTTTTGAAGAAAACTAAAGAGACTTTTAGCTGAACTGATTTCACCTATACACTAGATCAGTACTTGTGATTAGTTTCAGTGTGAACAACAGAAGGTACTTTTTCCCATGAATTGCTTAAGTATCAGCTCAAATTGACTGTTTGTCATGCATTTATTACAAAGAATACTTGGTGACATATATAAATATACTGCATTCTCTCAGTGCCTTACAGCATTTCATTATTTCAATTTTTTAAGTTCTGTTTGCAATGAGAATTCTGCAAATGATGAATTCAGCTTGGTTTCTTAATTGCCATGGCATCAAGAACTTCTTTCCCTCAAGCTACTGAAGGTATGTTTATTCTTTAACAAAGTAGAGAAATCAGAAAAACTAAACAACAGATACAATTTTCCTTGAAACTTTCTCTGGTCTCACATCTTTTACTCTATACTCATGTTTCAAAGGGTTAAAACAATTGCTTTATCTATGTGATTCCTGTTCCAGAGGGTAATATATAGGTTGGATATATCAATCCAAGCACTCAAAGAATAAAACAGATAAGAAATAGATATGAGGATGCAGATACTGAGAAAATGTGTAGATTCTGGATAATGATTCAAATACTGTGGTAGGATTCAAAGTCCCAGAGTGGTAAAATATAAACCATGCCACTTAGATTTAAATCTGTATTTGTGCATCATAGTAAATTTCATTCTAGGCTTCCCTAGGACTCAGGCTTATGTTAAATGTTTTACTGAACTGAGATGGTAATAGTGACATAGGAAATTACAGCTGATTAATTGTAATATTGTTGACAGGACATACTGATGCAATATTCTTGCGGTAGATGAGTTAGGGCAGCCAATTTATGAAATGTAATGAACCTGTAAGATCTTGTGCAACATACACAGTTTTGTGTAACTGGAACAGCAGATTCTTTGTCCTCACTGCTAAGAAGCATGTAAGGTTCTAGAAAATACTTGCCTTTGACCAGCAAATCCCCAGTACAAGAACAGCGATTCTGTGTAATTCTTGTTCTGGAGTATTTGGGCAGTGGTTATCTGACCTTTTTCACCAAATTGTTTTAGGGATCCTCATGCAAGAATTTAATCACTTTATCCTTTGCTTGGTTTTGTTATTCTTTCTTTGGTTTGTGCTAGGTGTTAGAAATGTCAAGTGAGCTTATCTTTCTCAAGCTAATCTTTGGGTCCTCAAGCTAAGTAACAACTGCTGCTTTAAACTATTTCTAAGTGGATTTGACCTTAAGGTTTACTCACACCAAAGAGGAAAGAGTTGAAAATATGAATGAAGTAATGAGTAAACCACTGTTCCAGAAAAGCTATCTGTCATTTTTAATTTAAACAGATTTTTCAAATGTGAACTTTACAAAATAGACATGGTAGATTGAAGGGGAAGTAATCTCCAGCCACAAAGGGCAGTGCTGGCAGAAAAGTGACCTCTGCATATGGATGGGGGAAAGGTTGAACGAAGATCACTAGTCCAAAAAGCCAAAATTAGCATGAGAAACAGGGAAAATGTAATGCCAGGAGATTATAATGTTTAAAGTAATACATAATTTCGATTGATGGCTTCTTATGTTGGAAGTAATGTGATTGTAGATATTCATTATATAGACACGTGCAGCTCTTGAGAGAAGTGGTAACTTAACGGCCTGCCCTATGCCTCACCAAGTTGTTTAGTTCTCAGGTGGCTTTCTAAGGTATCTGTAAGCAACCTAGCTAGTGTTGAAGAGGAAAAGCCATTTAACTTCCATCTTGTATCCACCAATCTCTATAGAAATATAAGGATGTTCCTTCATTTTGTATATTCCTGGATAAGCACTATGTTGCCCATCTCAAACATTTTCTGTTTAGTGTATGACATGACAGAGAATCAGTAAACACTGCAAAATGAGAGAAATAAGCATCTTGTCTTGGGGCATACACATAATCTCACAATTTTAAAATATTTTCATATGAATGTGTTACCTGATGTTTATTGAAAATGGTTTTTCTCTAGCTAGTCTATTCTGCAGGACTGCAGTTCTCACATGGAGTTGAGAGCTGGATCTGGAACCTGTGTCACTTGTGGGTTGTCACGTCAGGCAGAGTTGTGCTTCTGCCTCACGGTGCAGATGTGATGAGCCAGTTGTCCAGTGGCATCACGTGTGTGAGAACCACAGCAGGAAATGGTATAATTCATGAAGGAATTGATAAGGATTATAACTAACGTGAGGTGCCAACTAGTGATTAGCTGTTGTAAAAGCTAGGGTGAATACAAAGACTGAGAAGTGCCAGCTGCATGTATCTCTTATTTTAGCACAGATGAAACTTTCAAGTATGCGTTTGGAACTATTATGTCCCAGGGAAATCTACAGATGTCAAGGCACTTGTCTCTCAGAGGTGTGTTCCTGAATGTAATATACAACTGGTTCTTACTTTTGCAAAAGAACTAGAGAAATTTTAGCTACTGATCTTCATGATTTGGCCCCTCATCTTTTTATTCATACATAATCAATTGCTACAAGTCTCTGAACCTGACAGAACTGAGTCATTTATAAAAATATAAATAGGAAAAGGCTGTTTTTAAAGTTTCCATTTTCTTGTCCATAAGGCATGTAAAATCAACACATCTGCAGAAATGCAAATAGCTTACATGTGAGAACAAGCTGAAATTTAGCATTCTCAGGCAAATTACATTTATCCATCAGCATCCATAAACTGTCTCATCAACACATCTAGGCACTGCTATTTTTGAAAAACCTATTTTCTCACTTGTTGAATGTTTGAATCTGAACTTTTTTTTTTTTTCCTCAAAAATTACTTCTTAGATTGACAGATTTGCATTTGAAATAAAGCAAGCATAAAAACTCCACACTGCTATGCATGGAATGTAATGAGCCACATATTTTCTGTATGAAAACTTTGAACATATAAAAATGAAAGTTTTTTGTTAGGTGGCATATGAACTTTGTATAATCAATAGATATCAAGATGTTATAATCACAATATAATTGTATAATCAACAGATATCAAGATGTTATAATCACAATATAATCAAGAGAATTAGGCAAAGTAGACAACGATCACAAGAAGAGAATAAGTGGAAGAGCTTACCCTTCAGCTGAGCTCACCAGAAAACACCAAGAGAGGTGATCTCCAGACGAGATCGTTCCTCTCTGGTAGCCAGCTCTTAAATAGGTCTAGGAGGGGTGGAGTCTGGCTCCATCCCTTCCGGCAGCACAGGTGAATTGCCTTCAGCTGTGCTCCTCTGGCTGACTCATGGCTCGCCTCAGGTGATCAATCAGAGGTTCAGGCCGTGACTCAGTTCCCATACAAACTTATATTAACTGATAGTTGTACATTTTTAAACACTTTGTAGACATTTTACTGCTGTTATCTTTTGTCCCGTACTATAAACAAGATTTAGGATAGGAAATGATTATAGATCTATATTTAGTATTGAATTAATCATAGGCAAAACTGTGCTGTGTCCATGCTGCAGTGAATGACCTGAACTAGGGTCTGGCCTCTGACTTTTGTTTTATTAACCTTCTAGGAGGAAATTTGGTCACCACAATTCAGTTGTTGCCATGGCCTGGCTTCAGCATGCATAGGGGCTGCTCCAAAAGTCATGCCTCCTGTTTTATTATGTTGGCCCATGATATCAGAGGCAGATGTCAATAGTGTGGCAGTAGAGGTTGAACCTTCCCACTAATACTCCGTTACATTTTGTTGCTGAGCAACAGATGGCAGCAGAGGGGCAGTCTGACAATCTGGCATGGAAGTGTGTATGAAACAAAGGGGTGGAATCGAATTCTGTGGATCAACATGCCCAGTACCACCTGCATGAAAATTGTCTAGAACAAGAAAAGCATATGAAACACAGAGCTAGCACCTGAGCACTGAAGGATGACCAGATTTTCTGATCTCTATATGCTTCCAGTTTCTTTTGCTGTTTTTATTATTTTACTTATTTCACTGACAAATGTACTCTGAGTTCACAAGAGTTCCATTATTGAAGGCAAAAGTGAACAGATCTGGTATTTCTTACCTTTCTTAAGAAAAAATACTGGCAAGCAAGTAGCAAAACATAACAAAGAGAAAGAAAAAAGACCCAAAAAAACTAATTAAACTTACCTGAAATTTAAAGACAATTCAAATATGTAGTAGTATGTATGTATCACCACATATTAAGGTTGCATACGAAATATGTTAGAAATTAATAATGAATATTTCACATTTAGAAAAAATTATATAGTTATACAGTACACACATTTTATTTCATGTTGTTTTTATAATTAGCTGTTCTGTTCCTGATAATAACTTCCTTTTCTTTTTTACAGATGTTCATATATCTTCTATAATCAGCCAATGTACATATTTGTCTTACAGACAAATGCATTTTATGTTATGTACTGCATCACTGAAGGGCTTCCAAAAATTAATTTATATGTCTAGTCTTTACAGATCAACAGAACACCGCTATAAATCTTATGCCCTAGAAAGCTTTTTTTTTCTTTTTTTTTCCTTTTTTTTTTTTTTTTTTTTTAAATAGAGTTAAATTCTCATTCTGATGTTCTGTAATCAGCTTTGTAATCAGAAACACTGTGGATATTTATTTGTTTAAAATATTAGCTTACTAAAAATTCAAACCACTATTTATAAGCATCAGAAAGGAATCTGCATATTTGAAATCATTAAAAGATTGATGAATGGAAAAATCCTGTTAAATTAATTTCTTTACAACAGCCTTTACAATTAAGCCATGAATGAATACTTGTAAAAATGTTATGCCTTACTCTCTTACACTAACTGAGATGGATTTCAGTTTACAACACCATATTTTCCTCTCCTTTAATGGCATATACGTGTGGGTCAATTATAAGAAACCATAAACACAAGCCTTGAAGTACACGAAGATAGGATCTGATGTGTATTTTCTGGCTGCCTTTTGTTGTAGCAGTGAATGAAGTAGAAGTAACCACACAGAGCAAATATTGGTTTTGTACAGATGTGAACACCTCTGCATTTACCATGGTAAATTAGCCACCTGGTAAGGTTGAAGAAGGTACCTGGAGAAGAATGAAAATCCTTTTAATCAACAGTGCTAGGGACCTCTCCCATCTGCCAACAAAATTCATTCTGGTTGGATATAGCTGACCGCATAGCAGTATCTAATCTGAAGCAGGTAACTCACAAACTTTATTTAGCACAACTTGGTGCCTTGCTTAGTTAATTACAATCTGCATCATTTCTCTGGGATTTTTCAAAATGTCTAACCTAATTTTACTTCACTAGGATTTAAATCCTTCTAATTCTTTTTTTTTTTTTTTTTGTCAACTATAGACATAGATAATTGTTTCCTTCTTTCTTTAGATGTGCCTTATATAATCTTGTGTGTCATCTGTCTTCCTCACTGTTTACATTCTTAATCTCAATTAAATGACTCTATACTCCATCTTTGGAGACTTTCAAGGTGAGGCTGGAGAAGGCCGTGGGCAGCCTGATCTAGCTGTGGTGTCCCTGTTCATTGCAGGGGAGTTGGATTAGACATCCTTCATAGGTCCCTTCTTACTCTAAGAATTCTACGATTCTATATGAGGAGTGATAAAGAAAGAGTCTGTTCTTTCTCTGTGTGAGAAATGTGTAAAACATTCATAGAAATTGTCAATATTGAGGAAAAAGTGCAAAATGAAACATAACATAACTACATAAGATTGAGGATGCATGCCTACACTCGCTTCTTTCCATAAGGTGGGAACACCAAATAATCTGCCGAGGAGACTGTATGCTGCATACATACACTAAAAACCTGGCTAAATTATCATGATTGAATACGCACAAACTAAGCCTACATCTGTTAATTGATTTAATTTTGTTTTTTTAATGCAAAAAACAGTTTTTCTTGTTAGAGTATGGGATAAACTACAGATGAATATTTTGATGTTGTTTTATGGTACGTACAAGAAGAATGTATGTGCAGCAGATATTTCTCTCACCAAAAGTTAAGCCAGTTGAAAAGTCAGTGTTAAAACAAATCTTATTATTGTTTTCAGCTAGTGATTACAGTATCTGTACAAAAGTAGGCATGCCTTTAGGCTTATTCTTGAAGTGTATCTACTGGCATATGGATTAATAAAACAAACATTTGATAGTTTGGAGCAAGACCAGCATCCAAAATAGGCTCTAAATGACAAACAAATTGGAGTAGGCACTTAACATCCAGAATGAGCCAAAGTATACTGAATTTAGATAGTAAATGCACAAAATTATTATGTATGGGAACATCTTTCTGAGCTGAAAGTACCTGGAAGGAGGAATAGTATCAGGGATGTATCATATGTTTGCTCTGTTCTTACTTGTCGTTTGACAGATATCTTCATGTACCTGCTGCTGGAGGAAGACTTGAGATACCTGACCAAGTACTGTTTGGCATTTGTATATTTTTAGTTGGCATTCAAGGGAGGATATTGCCCACTACCTTCCATCATTCCTCTCCTTGATTTACTTCAGCAGCTATTTTGGAATAATTGTAATGCCAATTCTGGGTTAAATCACATGGAAATATTTTAACTATCTGAAATTGCCATGCTCATTTTACCTCAGCATTCTCAATGTTTTGTGGTGCTTCTGCAACCACAGTCATCCAGCTCTGTTTAGCCTGGAAAAGTTATGAGTAAAATAGCTGAAGGTCATATGGCTACTATCCATGCATGGCTTAATCCTTTATCAGAACAGAAAATATCAGAAGTGAATTGCAAAGAAGGTTAAAATCTTATGCGTAGAAAAGTTTTGATGTTAGCCGATCTGGAAACAACCAGAACTGAGTGAAATATCTGCAGTGAAATGAACATGATAATCTCTTTGCTTACTTACTCTGAACTGGTGGAAGTGCTGTATGCTGAAAGCATTATTCAAATCAATGTTCATTTAATCTAATCTGATATCTAGGTGTGATTCTGTCTAGAGTCTAAGGAGATTAATGAAACTTTTATTTGTCTAAAACTGGCATAGTCAAAACCAGGTTTATTATGACTTACATTTTATGGTAGTATAAATACCCAAGCCCAATAAAGTCCACCCTTCGTGCAGTCTATCTTCTGAGTGCACTGAAGTGATATTCTGACCCTGAAATAAAATAGCTAACAAACATTCCAGTTTGACTCCACATGGAATTAAAATTAAGGAGATAAATTTATTTTGAGAGAAAGACTGAGCAGATAACCACAACAGCTGTAAAACAGGCAGCAAATGGTAGAATGGCCAGACCGTCCATTGTCTTAAAATAAATAAATAAATAAATAAATGGCCTCTCATCATGAAAAAAGGCTTAAATTGAAGGAACTGCAGCCTAGTCAGCCTCACTTTGGGCTCGAGGAATTTATGAAGTGAGTCATCCGTGAACATACTTCTCAGCACATGAAAGAGAAAGTGGCTAGGAAGAGGCAGCATGGATTTAGCAAGGGTAAATCTTGCCTGACCTTGATATTTCTGTGATAAAATGACTAGATTAGCGGGCAAAGGAGAATAGTGAATGCCATTTACCTCATCTTTAGCAAAGCTAAACTGAAATGTAGTTCCAGAAAGTAGCAAGAACTTCTTAAAGAAAGTTTTAGTGCCGTTAGTCTCTGCTAAGCCATTCTGGGGAAAAAAATCCAACAGCACAGTATGGGATCTAGTAAGCCAAAAGCAAGTATAAATCATCTCTCAATCTAATAAGGAAACATTAGTGCACCTTACGAAATTGCCTGTATATCTCATGGCTGGAATAAGTTTTTTCATTTTGTCGCTGTTACCATAATCATAATTTGTGCATGTCAGATGCACAAATTCAGTGATGATCTAGAAAAATCTGAGTCAGTTCTATTAGTGTGTCATATGGAAACATATGTGCGTATATATATAAGTATGTATACATCTGTGATGCACGTATTGTTCAGTAATAAATTTGTGTTATAAGCAATAAAAAGCAATACTGAGACCAATGTAATGATGCTTTTTGGTAGTTTAAACATCAATTTCCTATGCATAATTGATAGTGGTGACAATTATTAATTTGCTTTAGTAAGCCTGAAGAATTGAAGCCATGCAACTGATCTGAATTCTAACATTTCTTTCAATTTTTAAGAAAGATACACTAATTGTACATGTCCATTTTGGTGGTGACTAGATACAGTGG